GCCTTTTTATCTTTTATTTGCTATGATTTCCCGGTAGCAATATGATCATTACATATTATTCAGACTATCAATTGAGAGGGATCTGAGAATAAAAGTTCTATTTCCCATCGTATACTGATGTTCTGATTGCTGCTGGAGAGACTGAACTGCAGTATGTTACTAATCTAATGCCATAACTCCATGCATGAAAATCGAATTTCTGTGAGTCGTCTTTAAGGTGTCTAAATTTCGTATCTTTTGATGCAGCGAAATACGCTATAAATATCTCTCTCTTCATTGAGTATCTGTATATTCTCAGTCACCGCATGTGCAGCTTACTCTTCCTTCTGGCATCTTGTGGCATTGAGAGGTAAAAACGTACTTTTTTTAGGCCTTTTGCAGAGTTTTCCATGGGCTGAAGATTTTTTGCTTTTTTTTTTTCCAAGGCTGCTGCCTATGCTGCTAATGATCACATATATATATATGAATAACTATTCTTGAGTTTGTCTGTTAATCTTCTTAGGCTTTTTTGGTTGAACCTGGATATTTATTCTTCATTAATGGATATCATTATTTTACTCCTTCCTCTGGATACATCCTGTTCAGCTGCTCTTGCTATTTGAAAGCATTTTTCAAGGCTTAAGTTCTCTTCTGTTCCATAGCCAATACTATCTCTAAATAGGTAATCTTAATATCTTCAAAACTATTTGTACCATTAGCTCTGTAATGCCCTTGCTTTAGTTTCTAGATTTTGATTCAAGCGATCCCAAACGGCCCCCCAGCACTCCAGCAAACACAACGGCAAAAAGCCCAGCACATCTCTACAGTTTTAGTTGTTTTGGCCATACTGTGTGTCAACAACCTCTGTCACTTATTCCAGTGTCCCCAACATTATTTCTAGCATGAATGACTCACTCTCTCCTCATCTTTTTTCCTCCAGCAAGGCAGTATAAAACCTGTGTCATTTTCTCTGTTTAATGGTGAGTTCTATTCACAGGCTCAACTGGTATGTTTGTGCAAGCTTCTGTTGTTTGCCGAAAGTTCAGGATTTGTGGTATTCTGGGGCTCCTTCATTTTTTTTTTCGTGGACTACCTGTTAATCAACCTTTATCTCTTCCTGAAAATTTCATTAGACTGACTGTGGCCACTGTGTTTCACATGCTATCTTTTGGATTTGTAACGGGCACTGGAAGAGCCAGAGAGAGGGCACAGAGTAGCTATGCTTCCAGAAGTTGGATCTGAGAAGAAAAGGGGATTTTGTAGCAGCTAAAGTTTGCGCTTTATCTTCTACTTTCTTTACATTTACAATGAAATATGATAATGCCATCTGTAGGTGCCTAATACATTGACCATGCTGGCCAGATTCTGGTCGGGGGAAAGGGGCAAGCTAGTGGAGAAATAATACGTATTTGGAAGCATATGCTACCAAAAGCATATGCATCCAAGTTTTTTGAGGAGTCAAAGAGGACCTCAAATTTCCATACAACTGAGGAAAGAATGGCTGTTTCCCATCATAAAAAGGTGGAGGTCTTCAATGCGTTTCCCTTTGCAAAGAAGCATCACTTTGGTCTTGTCTGGATTCAGTTTGATCCATCTGTTCTTCATTTAAGAGCTAATTTCCTGTAGTCATTCTGATGTTTTGTAGTGATGATAGTTGCATCAGAAAATGAGATAAATAGTAGATTGTCAGCAACATACTGTTAGTAATTGAACACAAGCCATATCACTCTCTCTCTCAGCAGTCTCATGTAGATAGATGTAGATTATATGGATCCCTGTGGGATCCTGAAGGTGAGGAGCTTGATGGAAGGGGCTCGTATCCACCACCTCTGTTTGAATTACATATAGGACATGAGATCCAGTACTACTGTGTCACTGACGGTGTGAAATAGAAGATTCAGGTGTCTGAGAACAGGAATGGGGAGATTATAGTACTGCGGCTGACAGGAGCTTTATAAATTCCTCCAGGAAGTTGACAGAATTTCCATCTGTAGATTGTGTACTACTAGGAGCCCTGGTTCCTCCAGTACTTTGCCTCACCATACATATGGATATACTCAAACGATTTCATTTCTGGATGGAACATCTTCTGCATCTAACTGAGACCACAAGACCCTTCCTTCACATTTTCTTTGCTCTTTTCCACTTTTTTAAATACTGCTGGTATTTATCTTGGCCTGTTAGTGTGGTGTTCTGGTATCTATCTTGGCTCTTCTGAGGGGTAGCTGTGCTAGAATAAGGTTGAAATGGTATTGAATCATGCCTCAGTGATGCAAAAAAGTTCAGGTGTTTCAGTTGAAAGGATACTACAGATGGGATTTTTCTTAGGTAAAGCTTTGCATTCAACAGCGAGAAATTCACATTGTTTTCTTTTTATTCTTTATTTAGTGATGTTACTACTTAAGCAACTAGCTGAAAATAACAGCTTTTAGTGTTTATTCTAATGCGTGGTGTTCTGGGAAAGTAACACCTAGTGATACCAAGGATTTAGAAAGGTAGCACCTAACAGCAATTCCCTCAACCCTAATCTTAATTTAATTTAAATTATCCCTAACCCTAACTTTAAATTCCGATGACTTAAAAGCCATGCACAGTATAGTCTACAAAATTGGAATGCCTAGCCCTTAAACAGGTACTAACAGTGGACATACAATGTCGAAGTAGCAGTCGGTGGTCTGAACATGGAGGTGGTGTAAAAAATTCTTCCAGTTTTTTTTTTTAAATTCTTTCACTAACATGAGAAAGCAGCAGACTGTTACAACTGGTATGCACCTGAGATAAGTAGGTAACGGCAGGGATGCAATACTATGGATTATCCAGCAGAAAGGAAGGCAAAAGAGTCAGTAGGATAAAAACAGACAAACAAAACGCAAAATCTCCTCGTTTCTATGAGGTAGTGAGCATTTGTCTACTTAGTTTTGGCTCAGTGTTAATTCCGCTTATAACTAGATTGTCACGAGGAATGTGTAACTCAGGATGAGACTTATACTTTTTTCAGGACTATTGATAATACTTCATGTTACTTTAGTAGTTAAACATAAAGATTAATTGACATTCTTCACTTCTGATATTTCATATTATATAATGACAGTCTGGTAGCACTTAGTTGTGGAGAAAGATGCTTTGCTTGTCAAGTGAACGGGGGTCTGGACCAAAACTCTTGAGGGTAAGCACTAGAAAGATTAATGCTTTCAAAATGTGTGGATGAGCCTTATCTGTAGAATAGGCCAAGCCACATATCTGTATCCTGATGCTTTTACTGCCGGTAGGATATTTGAAATGCAAATATGATAGCAACGGCCCACTTCTATACAAGCCAACATTTGAAGAAACAACCTTATTAAGAAGTAATTTTGTATTACAAAGCATTAATTGTATTTAGCAAATCTCTGTCTACTACAGCCTGGAAGCAATGTAGTCAGCCCAGTTCTAAAAACAGTGATTCATTTTCATGTGTTGTATACATATGAGTATATATACATTGCCTGCATTGCCTGAAAAACTAAGCCTGCAACAGAGAATCTGTTCTCCCAACAGATTTGTTGCTTATCAGGTCCAAACAAATTCTAGTGTGGAATTGGCATAAGTTGATTTGTCTGTTCTGCATATTTATTTGTGTAGGTGCCCAAAGATTCATCTTGTTTCATTTTGTTTCAGTCACTTATCAAGTTTATTCTTGTGGCCCTGGTATTTATCTGAAAGAGCTTCAGTGTACTAAGCTGTGATATGCTCAGATTGTGGTGCAGTGCCTCTGTAAAAAATTGTTAAACTGGCATGGCTTACCTCACTACATGTGTGATTATAGAGCAAGATTCGATTGCTAGAGCTGGCTAAACAATTTATTATTAATATAGTTCATTAAGGACTAGAATGAGTCTTTAGATGAAGATAGAGTGGAGAAATGTGTGAATGAATACATTGCCTCTTTGACTGCATACATGCATCAGTGAAGCATTTTTGTTCCCTATGCTCTCCTATGTCTCTGCTGATTAGCACAAAGGAAGAGAAAAGCCATGAATCCTTCTCCCTTTCTTCCAGGTAGGTAGGTCAGGGAGTAACTCTCGCTTTGCTCTCTTTGAATAAATCATTGTCAGAATAAGTTCCGTATGAGTACATGAAAGCTGCAGCGCTCATTTCTTACTCCCCTGAGCATCAGCAGATGTGCAGATGTGTGCGGAAGGGTGCAGGCCAATGCATATGCCCTTGTTTTGGTTAGTAAGACATTGTGAATAATGCCAGTTTTTCTTACTGTTATGTATTATTAGAGACTGTAAAGAAAGTAACGATGATCTTTACGAACTGCTGCTATTCCTAGCTCTTCCTAAGTATTTTGTGAATGTGTGATTAACCACTTAAATTATGGGATTTTTATTTATTTATGTGTTTTCTTTCACTGGAAAGCTCTTTCAATATAAAAGAAGAATTAATTAATAATTTTTCTATTCTCCAATAAAAGAATAAAGGCTCACAAGACTGATATAAGAATAAAGATTTGCACCAGTTTCCTGAACAACTTGCAAATAGTGAAAAATATAACCTTAAAAATTAAGTGCTTTCCATAAAAAAATATTTCTTCCAGTTTATTCAGTCATCTGTACATATGAGCTGATTTATATATACACACACACCCACACACATGCACACACGGTAAGTTTGTAGTTGTGCAGTTAAAGAGTTTTCAGGAAAATGTATCCTATTTACTGCTTAGCTGTGCAACCAATGCAAAACTGTAATATAATACCTAGAAATTCCCATCCCATTGTTTTTCATTACTGAATAAAGTAGCTCAGGATGATGACAGTTGGATGCAAAAAATGATCATATTTTCAGTGTAAAAATAGTGCTATTGTTTAGTAAGCTATACTACTTAAATGTATTAGGGTGATATACTGGCTTGCCCTGGATGGTTTTATCCTTTTTTTCGTAAAACATCTTTTGTTTCCACCCCCCACTAAGAGAGGAGGTATGTTTCCCATTAAGATATGAAGTGAGTTTGTTTTTCACTTTTGCCTTTTACATAGGGATACTGAATATAAAGGACTACAACTCTCCTTGGATCAGGTCACAGCTACCAAGCCGGCATTCTCATACGCAAATTCAACTCCGACCATAACGGATAATAGAAAGGGAAGCAAATCTCGCCTCTCGAGCACAAAGTCAAAATCAAGGACATCACCATACCCACAGGTAGTTGTCTTTGAAAAACAAAACTAAGTCTTTTTGAATATCTTGATTTTGACTGATATTTCAACCAAGTAATTAGAATGGGCCAAAGAACTTGTTACTCAAAGGGAATAAAGGATGACAGGTTATAAGATCTTGAGACAGGAATATGTTTCTTTAACCTGTTTCTAAAAAGCTGGAAACATTTATGTTTCAGCATGCATAATAAATCATCATCAGCAACAATAACAGCGCAGGGCTCTGAGTTTATGAGGAGTGGACAGAAGCACAAGTGAAAATTTTCGTTTTGAAATACTTACTTGATTTGAGAGGACTGTGAGTTTTACCATTTGAGTAAATTCTTGTTTTTCCTTACTCTTTAATAAGTCTGTCTTATCTAGAAAGTTGCCAGATGTTTGACAGCAGAATAATGCTAAAACACTGGTCACAAGGAGTGAATTTTGAGGAGGATAAGGGCGAGTTAGCTTGCTGAATGGGAACAAGAAAGCTCTTCCATGTACAAAGATGTGAATGGGAGAAAACACTAGTAGGTGGCCATTGATATTAGCAGACTTTAATTTCCCAGATTTCATATTTATGCCTAACCTTTTATGAACATGTCCCTGCTTGTAGAATGAACCAGACTTGATTGAATGTCTAAACTGGAGCTTATGCAATTTGTTTAGACAGCTGATTTCTGCAGACAGTGCCACAGCATTTGCATACTTACATTGCATTACTGTTTTGCTCAAAAAAATCTGGTTTGTAACTAACCACTCTGTTTACCAAATAATGATCCAAGTTTTAGAGTCATAGCTCAATGGAACAATTCCACAACATAGTGGACATAATTGTATGCGTTCATAATGTAACATTGAAGACCAAAATATTTTTAAGACTCCAGGTCAATATTTGGCCTATAATCACCTTAATGACTACAGTTTCTCTGCAGGCACGCTATGTGCTAAACTGACTTCTTAAAGTGTGGAATGTGAGCCCGTACTGAAGCACCTAAATCATTTCCTTGTTTCTTTGTTTTTCCCCCCAAAAGCACCAAGGATAAAAATTTCTTTTAAATGACATCTGCTTTTAACAGTGAGAATATTTAACTGAGCACCTAGACGCACTCAGTTTCTTAATTTTAAGAATCTAATTTTGCCAGAGATTGTTATGGCAACTGTTGTTTCATCATTTATTTACATACATTTCTGTGGGTTGTTAAAAAATAGCCTTCCCTCTTGAATGTTCCACAGCAAACAATTGTACTAAAACCACTTTAAAGAATTAGGAAAGATACCAACACTTAATTCTAAATTGTATTTATAAGATGACTGTCCTTGAGTTTTTGAAATTATCATTTATTTCCCATTTAAAAGTCCTCATTTGCTAGCAGGACAATCCCACCTGAAGACCTGTTATTGACCTACATAAATCACTTTCTGAAACTATCTTTCGTTAGTGTCACCTTATTCTCTCTACCACCAGAAAAACTCTTGAACTGGCATCTTTAAAAGAGTAGTGTGGAGGCTGTTGGTTTGTCAGGGGTTGTTGCTTCTGATGTTTAGTCTCCAGTTTCATTTTGCATCCTCATTACCAGCTGCCTGGTAGTAAAGTCACAGATTTCGTCATTCATAAAGAGGCAGCAGTGCTAGTTGCCAATATCTTGAAAAATGGTCATACCGTTCATTGTAGCACATCACCACAAGCAACGCTGGCAGCTTGGCTTTGCATCTCTCTCATCCTTCTCAACCACTGAATAAGCTGTTGAAAGACTAAGAAAAGCTGTTGTAAAGAAAATACAGCAGGTGGTATTGCCTGTGTTCCTCAGCCTCCAGCCCACATAATTTGCCAGTCAGTTGTGGAGAATTAGTGTGACTCAAAAGCCATGGCTGGAAAGTGAGGGCATGGGTTTTGGCTTACATACAAGCTTGGTTTTAGTGAGGGAAGGAAGCAGGAGGTTGATGAGTAAAATAATGACAGTAGGCAGAGGAATTTCTCAAATTTAAGGGCACCTAGGAGATTATAAATTTATGCACTTTCTTCCTTTTTTTTCTCTTTCCCCCTTAGCATTTACTTTGCTTCTTCACTCTTGAGGAGAAAAGGGAATCATATGCTTTATTGGGTGATGTCTGAGAATCCACTCCCTTGACAGCTGTGTGCCCCTAGGATAGCTACATGAGATGTGAACTGTAAGAAAAACAGAGTTAACAAATTTCAGCTGAATGTTGCCTACCAGGGCAAAAGGCGGATGTCTTGGTCACCTAACACAGTAGTAATGTTTTTTTCTCAAATTGTACGCTCGAACAGACTTACCATTATATAGCATTTGTAGACTCTATAATCAAAATTGAGTTCGTTAAATTGGAGGTGCTGGTTAGAGTCTAATTAACGCTAACTGACTTTAGCACAGTTGGCTTGTGGGTTCACAACCTGTCCCAGGCACAGAAAGGGTGAGCAGAGAGGAGACCAACTCAGAATTAATCACACAACTCTAGGATATGCCTGAACACATGGAAGGTTGGTCTTCTAGTGCTGTTTTACCAGAGAGGTGGAGGGTTGAAAGCAGAGGTGAAAAAAATGGGAGAGATGAGGACGTGATAGGGATATGTTGGTTAAAAGAGTTGGTTAAAAGAGGTCTGTAATCTTCCTCCATAGTAATAATCACCGTGAGGGGCTCCCAAAATCTAGCCCTGGACCTCATTTATTTTATGTTCCTAAAAGCTAGCCCTGGACCTCATTTATTCTGTACACAGGAAATAGCAACAAGATTGGAAAAACATTTTAATTGTGATCATCTGAACAACTGCTTTGGAGTTTAATCTCCCGTTAATGATGATCATTTAAAAAAATATTTAAAATTGTCTGTTGTCTGCCTCTAATGGGAATGTTTTATGGTCAGATCTGGATAAATTTTTATTGCTCCATATCTCATCTTAGTTCTTGGATAAAAATATGTATATAATATGCATGCACACATACAATTAAGGATATATTCAATGTCTTTTGGGTGGGGGTTTGGTGTTTGTTACAGCATGCATTTATCTTTGGAAGTAACAATGTTTTTTAGGAGGTGTGTATTAATAATTGCTAATTCACCACACAACTGACATTGGAGGTAAATATGTGCATTGATTTTATAGCTACTTTAAAAAATAATCTGGATTAATTCTGCAGTCTACCCTGACCCAAACATATCACCTACTATTTTAAAGAACTGGGTAAAGATACCAGAAATAGGCTGAATTGTAGTCAGCTTTTCTTTTGTTTATTGCTTCTTGCTGTAGCCTAAAGCTTTGGCAACTTCCAATGCATTCAAGAGCAAAGCAAAAACCCTCTTTTTATAGTAAACATAACTTAACTCCTGATCTGCTGAAGAGTCACCAGCAGTGGGGGTTATTTTAATGGACATGCTGTATTACTTTAATCTAAGCCTTTCACCATCTGTTCTGCCTATAATAGTGAATGCAAAAAGAACATATTTTACATTTCAGGATTACATTAGTAAAAAGTAAGATAAAAGTGATTTAAAAGCATGCATATGTTCCTAGTACAATGCAGCCCGCATCTGTGATGCTTTTTCTCATGCTTAAGACACAAATCAAGAGGAAAGCTGCTAATGCTGATGTAGTGAAAGTTTGTCATGGAAAAGAGGACTCTACTCTGAGAGGGTTTCACTATATATTTAATGTTTATAATGATAAAAACCTGAGAAGGCTGCTAGAAAATTAGATAACTATGACGTCTATTGTTTGAACATCTGGCATTGCTGTATATAACAGGACGAGTGCTCAGGCCAGCGAGACACCTGTAGGAATGAAAGATCAGGTAAAAGAAAATCACTCGAGAAATATTACAATTGTCTACTGGCCTAACACATTTTTATGGCCTCTCTTAAAGCAGGATTTTCTTAGCCATGTAATTGATATTTTCCTGTTTCCTTGCCCCCTTCAGCCCTTCCGAAGTTTTTCTTGGAGTAAAAGGAGCATCAGTGATGGTCAATAACCCCTTCCTGTGTCAGTGCTAATCCTGCTGGTCCGATCTCACTGGGATGGTACACTGAATTAGCACTTTGGAAGACGTTTCTAGTATCTGGAGGTGCCAATTCAGTTTGCAGGAACGAGCTGGAGATCATTTAATTTCTTTGCTGTTGCTGTTTATGCTGGAAGATGATTCAAAATCACCTGAAGTGATTTCAGGCGTTGCCTGTCTGAAGAAGTTCTTCATCTTGTTTTAACTTCTGTCTGCTGGTTAAATTAGGCTTTACCAAAGAAAAGAAAAATACATTTTACCAGAGAGGAGTCAGAGGTCAAAAATTAGCAGAAAGGAAAACACTTCTGGTGAGGCAGGATTGGACTTCTTACAAAAACCCAACACTTTCACTAACTCTGATTGGCCAGAATTTTCATTAAATCTAATTCTGTTCCTGTGGTCTTTCATCACTTGACATATGGCAGCCTAATTCTGACTTGAGAGATAGGGTTTCTGCTCCCATTTCAGCAGAGGACTATCTTTGATCATCCTTTCGTTTCTCCCCCCGTCAGCATGTCATACATGCCCATATATGTACCCGCCACCTGTCAACGTCAGGTTCCCAGAGGAGGCAGTGGTAGGACAGTAGCAGTAGAGGCAGCCTGATGATGCCAAATTGAGATGTGATTAGCTTTAAGGAATTAGACATATTTCTGGCCTATGCTTGCTTGTCTTCTTCTCTAAGAATAAGCAGTTATATCAAACCTCAGTAGACAACGTGTGCCACAGGCATCTCAGCGTTAATTTATTTCTGCCCATGGCCTGGCAGCTGCTATGGGTCAGATCTCAAGTAATCATCTTTTACATCAAGTGCAAAGAATATGCATGAAGTATTGTTGGTCTTGACTACATGGTTATATGACATTACATGGTGCATTTCTGATACATTGAATATGTATCCTATGAAATGGTTTCCCGTTCTTTAAGAAAAGTGTATGAAGGCCCTATACAATTGAATCCTTTGTGATTAGGTCTAAGACAAAAAAAAGAAAAAAAGAGAGAGCCATTTTTCAGTTATATGAAGATGTTCCTTTCCAAGAAAGCTAAACTGGACCTTGAAGTATCCTTTGGGACTGAAAGCTGGTAGAAGAATACCTACTAGACTCATGAAATTCAGAATTTTCAATTTGAAAGACTCTTTGACATTTATTATCATCATAGATGATCAAAAAAAAAGAAATTTCAAAATAATATTATTGGAAATTATTTTTTTTGTCTGCCTCATGAAAGAAATACACACTATCAATTTTGTTTCTAATACAAAAAAGTAATTTTAAACTTTATGTTATATTATCTTATATTTCAATTTAAGTAACTTTTTAAATTAAAAAAACTTTTTTATAAAAATCAAATCTGAAAAATAATTTTAAATATAAATAACTAAATAACTAATAAATAACTAAATAATAAATAACTAAATAATTTGAAATGTAAGAGGAGATACAAAAGTAATTTTTACTTTTGTGAATTTTTTAAAAATGTAATTGAATAGTTAGAGCTTTGTTGATCGTTTCTAAATTTTTTAATTGAAACCCTAATTTTGTCTATATATTTTTGTCAGAAGATTTACAATAATTTATTCAGTATTTATAAAGCTATCTTTGTGATTAAGTAGTTTGAAGATGTTAGTTCTGACAAGACAATAGAAAAGTTATTTGTCTAGTTGGTCACACAACACTACGACAGTTGAATAGAGTTCCTAGTTAACTTACACCGAATTAATGACATTTAGAAGAACTTTTCTGTGACTCTAACTATCTTACCTCCATCCAAAATCAGATTTATCCTTTCATCTCTAAGATCTTGAGATGAATTGAGTGGTACTAGCTTGCTTATCTCCTCTGTATCTCCCTGTAGGCTTTTTGCGTAGTGGGTTTTTTTGAGAACCGTAACAAAATATAATTTTAGAGCTGCAAAGCCGCTGTCCTTTCTTGCTTTTCTTTAAATTACTTATCTTGTTAACAAACAGTATTCACAAATATAAACTGGAATACTGAAGAAATACCCAATTAAGTGCCAAAAACCAAGTAGTTCCACTACTGACGTTGCACAGATGGTTTAAGTTTCTGTAAATCAAACATATGGTCAGTACTTTCGATGGGTAAGTGCACAAAACCTTGATCCTGGTTGATAATAAAGAGTTTCATAGCAACTCAATCTAACGAAAAGGAAGGTAAGCTTATGTTTGCAGGAGAGAGGCCTAATACCTATTAAAAGAAAGGGCAGAGTGGGCATCTGGAAGGTAAGTGATAGAATGGGAGAATTCCGAATTTATATGTTATAATACACTGATTTGTGATATGAATACGCAGTACTGAAGAGGTGAGCATGCACAGCTTTTGGTCTCATCCCAATCCATAATCATGGGTGAAATTGATTTAAAAACGCTCCATGAATTTTGACAGCACCAATAAATAAAAAGATTAAAAAATGAGATAGCTAAATCCTAGGAGGTTTTATAAGCATTCTTTTTTTCCAGAAACTATCCAAAAGTCTGAAACACTTACTATGGACATCTAGAAATTTATGAAATTTGGCTTAACCCTTACAAATGCTCATACTTCTATTCTGTCTGCTTTTCCAACTGCCTGCTAGCTTTCTTCTGTGCGGGGAGGGTGCGTAAATGCCCACTCCTCCTGCTTTGGCTAGTGGTCCCCTTTTCTGGCAAATAGTTTCTGGATTTTGCTTCTTCCCACATTGCAACAGAGCTGTGATTTCAGCTTCCTACTGACCTGCCATCACTTTGGAGCTTTACTCTGTAGTAGTGCTGGGAGTCCCGGGATCTACAGGAAGCTTTCTTTTCCCTACTAATAGGAGGAAAGAAGTTCCAAGATACCATCCCAGGTAAGAGAGAAAAGCACATGGAAGAGAGTGGGGACCCTTAGAAAAAGAACTTGCAAATATATTCAGTTTCAATTTGACGTGAGAGAATGTACCGGGAATGTTATTTCAATCCCGTTAAAAAGTGCTTTGCAGTCGAGCAATGGAGCACCACTGCTGAACATAAGCACTAGCTTTCAAAGCAGGAAAAACCTGGACATATTTTAAAAATTTTGAATTACTACATTGATGTTGGCGAGCCTAGTATTGCACATCATAAAGGAGATAGGGCTATTACGGGTTGACATGGGATGTTTTAGACTTTCGTGATGTCTGTCCTGTCATCTGCGAGCTCATTACATATACATGAGAGGATGAGCAGTCCAATGAGAAGGTAAAGATGTGTAAGCACACTTGCAAAAAACACCCTCCCCCCACATGCTTCCTTTTCTGTCTTTTCAGTTGCTGATTTCACCTAGGCTTAGTAATTTCCCTGCTTCTGCTTTTGTTTTGCAGTATTCTGGCTTTCACACGGAGCGATCTGAATCTGACCACGAGAGCCAGTGGGGTGGGAGCCCCCTGACCGACACTGCTTCTCCGCAGCTCCTGGAGCCTGCGGACAGGCCGAGCTCCCAGCACCACGATGTCTCCTGCGCCTACCGGCAGTACTCGGACCGCAGCGCGCTCTGCTACGGCTTCGCGCTCGACCACTCCCGGCTGACTGACGACAGACATTTCCATACGCAGGCCTGCGAAGGAGGCAGGTGCGAAGCTGGCAGATACTTCCTCGGCACGCCGCAGCCTGGAAGGGAGAGCTGGTGGGGTTCCCGCTCAGCGTTGCCCCTCACAAAGTCATCCCCTGAAAGCAGGGAAGCGTATGAAAACAGTATGCCCCACATCACGTCCGTGCACAGGATTCATGGTAAGAAATGACACGGATTTGCAGAAGCAGCACCACCTCAGATACAGCAGCAAAGTCATGACACAGAGATACAGCTGCTTAAGTGCATGTGAGATAAAGAGAGAGACTCTTGATGTGTGGCCTTCTCTCAGAGGCTGTTTATATGGAAATGAGGAGTACCTCCAGTTCAAGTTGAGTATGACAGTCTGGTTTAAATACAGTAATTTGTTCTATATTTTTCAAACTGTGAAATTAAGGTAGGAATATCTGATTGTTGAGATCTTAAGGAATGTGAACAAAATGACACACTTATTAGAAGTGTCTTGTTTCTTTGACTTAAAACCTAACTAGCCTGGATAAATGTACATAATACAAAATTTCAGTTAGAATTAAATCCATCTGGATATTTAAAAAAATCTTTAAAGGGTTTAGCGAAATTATTTTCTTATTTTAATTTTCTAAATATTAGGACTATTTGCTGGTCATGTCTTGGACTAGAAGAGTATGTGCAGAAAAACGTTAAGAAACTTGTTCTCTGAATAGTTTTAGCCAGACTGAGAGGGAAAGTATTAAACTCATTTCTTCAGGTTCAGGATAGTTAGATAAAGTTCACATACTTACTCGTATGACTGGGTACTTATTCAAACGAGTTCAAAAGAACTTTAGGATTATCTCTTACAATTTAGCAGGGACTGCCTAGTTTCATAGAAAAACTAGTAGAAATGATCTGGTGAGATGCATTCCAACAAACTTGGATCAGTTTAGGTGGTTGCATGTTTAGGGGAGAAAAAAGAACTTTTTTTCTGCGCTGGTTATTTCTAGATCATGTAAGATTTGCTATTTATTTTTATTTAAAATTGGCAATTCAAATAAATGCTTATTTTTGGTTTCTAACAGTTATTCCCAGCTACAATTTTTAGTCAGCTTAAGCCGCTGCATTTTCAGCACCAAGCCTGCAGCCTTGCTAGGTGTCTGGCAGGTTGTATAGCACATCTTCAGAGACTGATGTTGGTCGAAAATTCACAGGGAAAGGTTGAACTTAGGTTTGGGTAAACTCAAAGGTCCTTAGGTTTAGAGTGTAGGCTGAGAGCTGAGACATTGAAACTGACCCAAAAACAAGAGTATAGGTTGTAAGGATAGATGCTGCTTGAAAAATCCAAATGTTTTTCATTCAAATGTTTTTGTCAAACATAGGTGGTATCTGCAGAACTCAGAAGAGTGCATGGTCTAGGGCTATTTAAATTGGCACACCTCAATTGACTTGTAGAATGAAGCCCTTAGAGGCCAGGAAGAAAAGTTCCAATCTAAGGAAAATTTTGTCAAGAGTAGAAAAATGCTTAAGTAGCAAGGTCTAGGAAATACAGTTAGAGAAAAAGTGAGGAAAGGAAAGAGAAGCCCTTAATTTTGTTGATCAGTGCTGTTCTCTGCTTTTCTTGTTAAAACACACCGTCCTTCCTTGTGTCTGTTCTTTACTTCTGTAATACTTGTGTTTCAAAAGGAGAACTGAGCAGAGTATGGTAACTTTACAGACGTTAAGTTACATGCGTGATAATTCTTGCTAAACATAGTAAGACAGTAATATAGACATAGTATATTGAGAAACAAATGTAGTGTAAACATTTATTCTATACTTTTATCAAAGTAATTATTCCAAACTGATAACGTAATTTGATTTTAGTTTGTTCTTTGGCTTGACTGTTATTCCAGGTGCTGCAGTTATACTCTTTGTTGTATCACAAGTATCATGTTGTTTTGTTGGGCCTTCGGTCTGCATGTAGCTTTGGGGGCAGAACTTGACATGTTGGTCTCTATTCAGGAGAGGAACATCTCAGTTTCCCTTGAAAACGTACAAATATACCCATTTCAAACCTTAATCTTTCACAAATGAAACCATTTTTGACAATTTGCTATCAGAGCAGCTTCTTTGGGCAGTTTCTTTTTCTCATTTTCTGTTCTTCTAAAGTATCCTTTGGTAATTCTGGCTTCTAGTCACCTTACAATGATGAGAACTAATTGAAGATTATGGGAGGCTCTAATGGGAGCCCATGCATTTTGAGTCACCCTCAGGGAGTCTAGAGCGCTGTCTTTATATGTGGTATATGTGACATACCATGTGCTGCACCTGCTGCACTCTGGCCCTTAGAGCTTCCTTTCAAACTCTAGGCCAAGGTCTTTGATGTGAAGGATAAATTCTCACTTGTGAGACACTCCGCAGTGTAGTGCCTCAACCTACGAAGGGGAAGGTATTTTTTATTATAAAACCCATTACTGATTTTGTCATGAACGCAGCAACACAGTGGTGTCAGTCTGCCACTCAAATAGATAATCCAGTACAGAGCAGGAGGAGCAACCAAGACTAATCTGAAAATATTTTTCCTTTGAGCAGTCTTATCCTCAGGCCTCACTCCTATAATGGAGCGTGCAAAGCATCATTAAGTAATTTGTGCAAGTCCAACACCTCCCTCCTGTGGGCATGTATCTTAGCAAATCCTTTATCAAACTTTTTATTAAGTATCTGCTCAGCTGGTGCTTCAGGTGTGGGGATCACTCACTTTCTTCCTAGGGAGGACTGACAGGTCTGATTCTGTCCTTTCAGCAACATGCAAGCTGAACACCTCTGATATGTCTATGGGCTTGGCTTTATTATTTAAAGAGAGATAAGACTAGTTACATTTTCCCATTCTAAAAGTTTTATACAGCAAGTATTTATAAATTGGAAAACAATATCATATGTTTTCAGTAACCCTGTCTAAATGTAAGGTTCTTATGGGTTTTTATGCATCTAATGAAGTGTAACTATTTCATGACTTCAGCTTGCTTATAGTCATAGAGCCTACATAATGGCACTATGGGACTACAAACTATTCCACAGTGCTTTCTCTATGTTTTAGATCTTAGAAGGGGCTAAGAAGACACACTGGAATGATGCATGCTTGCAATTCTTTGAGATCTTTGTCTTCACCATCTTCTCAATTCACTCAGACTTTGTTGATGCAAAGAGATAGTGAGACATTGGGAGACAGGGCAGAAATATGAGTATTAAATGCAATTTGACTTGCCCTAGGGTATCCTGCCTGGTCTCTAGCTTCTGCAGAAGACACAGAGCTCCTGTAGAGTCTGTGCCATGCATGCTGGGCCTGTGCAGACTCCTCGCTTGCCCTAGAGTGTCTTAAATGGCACTGGATGTCTGTGTTTAGGTGCTTAGATCTCTTGCTTGTATATTGTAAGCTGTATTTGTTACTTGTTTCATGTGCCAAATGACACTGGAAACGAGAGGCTGTTACCAAAAAGCGAGGGGTGTAGACCCCATGGTCATTTTTGGTGACTTTGTTACCAGTCACTTGCCTCTGTCTTGTTTTTCAGTCTGCAAAATAAGGTTCAGAGCACTTGTTCCTTAAGATTTTTTGCCTCCTTCAACCTCAATGCTTGTCCTCTTTCTCTCTTTCCTAGGGAGAGGACACTGGGATGAGGACAGTGTCGTTAGTTCTCCTGATCCTGGCTCTGCCAGTGAATCAGGTGACCGATACCGCACTGAGCAGTATCAGAGCAGTCCACACGAACCCAGCAAAATTGAAACTCTAATAAGAGCCACCCAACAAATGATTAAAGAGGAAGAAAACAGACTACAGCTACGGAAAACAACCCCTGATCCTCTGGTGTCCGTTAATGGCACAGGGAAAAAGCATGCTATCTGTTTTGCAAACTATCCTCAGCAGCAGTTGTCAGGGGATGTCTGCCGCGTCCCTACAGTGGCCAACACTCCTCCCTGTGAACACATCCAGCAACGAGACGGAAAGATTATGAGCCCACATGAGAATGACTATGACAACAGCCCCACAGCGCTGTCTAGGATAAACAGCCCCAATTCTGACCGAATATCTAAATCTAGTTTGGTGCTAGGTAAAGACTACATGCATTCAGATATGTCCCCTCATCAAACGCCAGGGGACCACTCAGCAGCTTCTCCAAATTATTACAGCTCCCACAGGCAGTACTTTGATAAGCATGCTTATACATTAACTGGATATGCGCTGGAGCATCTCTATGACACTGAAACCATTAGAAACTATTCACTAGGTTGTAATGGATCACACTTTGATGTAACTTCTCACTTAAGGATGCAGCAAGATCCAGCACAAGGACACAAGGGGACATCTGTTATAATAACCAACGGAAGCTGACACTTTTTCCAAAAAATTTTGTGCTTTAAAAAATAATCTTTGAGACATAATTGGAAGATATTCTGTGTTTTCATGCCCTTGTTGTTACCAGCATTTGATATACCGCAGTGCACTAGAGAGAATAACCTAAGGTTTTGGGGGATAAGTTAGTTAACATATATTACTTTAAAAAAACAAAAATGTGCTGGCATGCAGAGTTATAGTGAATGGAGCCAAACTCAAACTTGGTGCCATGCTAGGTAGAAGGGATGGAAGAGGTCTAGGCAGGAAGCACCTGGGGCAGGCTAGGAGAGCAATTTATGCACATTGTGTAAGAGGTGGTTGTTTGTAAATGCTGCCAAGCGCAGATCTCCTGAACTGCATGCGCCCCACAGGTCCCAGCCAACAAAACTGCTATGCACTCTTTTTACATAGAAAGTTGGAATGCGTTCCTTTGAAATACACATTGAAATGTGTACTTCTGGTGATCTGTCTATTTCCTAAAGGCCAGGTGTATTATGCTGCTCCATGGTCTAAAGCGTCCATAGCTAACCAATCCAAAAGCAAAAAGGGGAGAAAGAAGAGAGAACTCCTCAGAATTGTTATTTCCTTGTATACTCACATGCATAGTTATTTACATATGCTTGTTTCGAAAGGAGTAAAATGAGCAGTATCTTCATGATTAATAAGATCAAATATTTACTTCTACTATATTTAAAAGAAAGAAAGCCTTTCTCAGTGTAGTTTTGAGAAATACATAGGTCTTGGTTGTCTTGGTTAGAGATGGGAGCTAGTCCTCATACTTTTGAAAGATCGCACAAGGTGAGTAGTAGAGTGGAACAGAAGAAAATCAGTGGGCAGAAACAGAGAGAAGGGGCTGGAATAGAAAATGGTCCAAGATAAAAACATTTAACCCCATGGCTATGCATGCCATTTAATAACAAATACAGCATAAAGAAAAGTGTGTCTAAGTGGCCAAGTAATTAAGAATTATTTTAAAATGCAACAGGAACTCAACAGAATAATGGAGATTTTGTTGTAAAATACGATTCTGTAAATGTAAAAATGTGAGAGGCAAGGATAGAGAGAAACTCTGTGGTGGTTCTTCCTAATTTTGGGAAAGATTGAGGATAAATTAAGAAAGCGTAGAAGATTGTAAGGACTCAAAGTCTCACATACAGCTTAAAGTAATAGATATGACATTGAAAAAGAAATACGCATTCTTGTCTTATTTGCAGCAGAAAATGTAAGAGATATCAGAAAATATTAGAAATCTCAAAATCAGTCATATGTACACGAAAAAATATTCTGGAAAACCAGGTTCCCAAGCAATTTAACTATTATTAAGACCAAGTTAAGACTGTGGAAGACATCAAAGGAGGCAGAGGAACTTTTTACAATTTTTAATAATCTCATGAACAAAGAGCCATTAATTAATTGGAAAAGAGTCAATATAAAACATATGCTTAAAAGTAAAATAGAGCATTTGTAGTCAGAATTACTGGATCCTTCCTTCTTTGTATGGCATTTATATGAAGTCTCTGATCATCTGAACCTGGAGGAAAGGAGGTCTGAGGTGGTTACTAAAATGAGATTAGCACTGCAGTCTAGCTTCATTTGTAACATTAAGAAGCTAGGCATATGGGATTGAGTCATCAGTGGGACTAAATATAAACCATCATACTAGGGGTGGGTTAAAAATATCTGTTTTCAAATAAAACTAATCAGAAGCAAAAGCTAAATAATAACAATATAAGCCACGTAAGAGATGTACTTGAAAGCAGAGGAAATTACCTCTCTGAACTTGGAATATTGTGTATAGTTCTGATCACTCCAAGGCAGATTGTGAATCTTGAGTTGTGTAGTACCTTACTCCATAAGCAATCTCTGTTGACTGCAGTGTGATCACTCATGGTTAAATGTACTTTGAATACAAGGAAGAGCAACATAGTCTGGTCTTTATTATCTGAGGTTCATAACAGAAAAGGTGGAGCAGAGCTCAGCAAAAAGATAAACAGACTGAAAGATCTAATAAAAACTTTAAATAAACTGGGTCTGTCATCTTTGTAAGGGAAAAGAGTAAGAGGGAATGTCACTGGTGTGCACCAAGCTCTGCACAGAGGAGAGAGAAATAATGGTCTAAAACTATTTGAACTAGTGGCAGATATGAGAGACAGGGCATTGAATGATAGCCAAGGCAAAATGAGAACAAAATGATTTGGCAAGAAGTTCATTTGACAAACTGCCAAATGAATAACAAAGGTCATAAAGAGAAGCAGCTACAGATTTTTGTTTGTTTGTTTTAAGATAAAAACAAGGCAAATAATTGAAGGGAAGAAAAACACTGACAGCTGTTAACTCAAATGGAATGGATGGACTTCTTTCAGCCCAACAATTGTATATGTTCATAAAGCAGAGGAATGAGAAAGTATTTTTGATAAATCTTGTTCTGGATACATATTTATTTCACTTATTCCCATGAATAATATGAGTAAATTTGTATTTGGTGTCTCACTGTACAGTATTAAAATACAGTTTGCAAAGCGAATTAGAGTAGAGGTACACGGTATCATATTATCCCTACTAGTACATATAAAAATGAATCTAACTGTCAGTATTATTTTGTATTACAGCAGAGTTTCCTAAACTGGTTGCGTGAGTGGGATTTTGTTAGCACCCAGGTTTCTTGGGGCCACCAAGCACTCTTTTTATCAAACTTTTAATTAGAAGGCAATGGAGTTCCACAGACCAGTTGCAATTCCCTGGCTTTGGTCTAATAGACCACAGGTCGTCAGGGAAACCGCTGTCTGGGGACTGTTGTATTTGCAGTCTGACAGGCACTTTTGAAAAATAGAAGACTTGTAAAATGAACAGGCACGGTATAGGATGCTTATATTCTATATTATATCACCTAGGAAAAAAGCCAGTGTGTTATGCAATAAAAAAATCCCTGTTGTTATTCACTGTAATCCCAAAATAAAACTTTCCAAATTGTAGTTATTTTCAGCAGATCCCGTCCACTACAATGACAAATGCAAAAAGATGCACTGTAATAAATAGAATCCCTAATATATCACTGGAGATGTAGAAGGGCCTGTAGCTGCTGCCACATTGTACTACTTTCTCACCCCTAGGATTCCAGCAACTGTTGCTCCTTCTTAGCCCTTCAGCACAATCTGCTGGAGGTAGATGCTTTTGTCAAATAATTTGCCATCCTGCTTTTTTAGGTAGTCAGGAATTTCTTTTTAATTGACAGAGAGCACTGGATGTTGTAAACATAGAGCCTGCATGCTATACGCTACATGAAAGCAAGTTTGCAATGGTAATTATAGCATATAATATCATTACAGCTCATATAACATGTACTTTTCAATATGGTATAAAGTATATCTTTTCCATTACATATTTATTTAATTCAAATTTTCATTTAGCATCCTTCAGGGATACCTCCTCCTCCTCCTCCTTCTTCTTCTTCTTCTTTTTCCTTTTTCTTCCTTTTCTAAATCAGATGAGATAAGAGATTTTGGAAAATTGGAAAATGCAAGGCATTTGTACAGAATACATTTCAAATATATCACGTAAGTTAAAAGCTATCACTTTAAAACAGATCTACAGGTTGTGTTTTAGTACAGGAACAATATAAATTGAGGTGTTGCATCATTCTCTAACTTAATAGTGTTTTACAGTCACATATTAACACCAAATTAATTTTGTAGCTACTCTGAATAGAGAATGACAACAGCTCTTTCAAACCATTTCTTACGGAGCTCAGTGGAGGGTGTGCTATGGTTTTGTTGCTTCCCTTTTAAGAGGCCCAAAAAATTCTCTCTTCTTAATACAAAATTGCACCCCAGGGGGCATGGAGTTTGTCACTGTGCATGAATTTGCGTAGCAATTCCTAATTAGAGTAAGACCCTTACTCAGCAATGTGCCCCATTGACTCCTATGGAAATATTTGTGGAGTAAGGTACTACTTAATATGTCTAAGGGCAAAAGAAGTTGACTTGTAGTGAATTGGCGGTAGGTATGGGGTTTGTTTGTATCTTTTTTTGAATCTCAAGATGTGAGTATGCAAACTATGAAAGGCAATGACTGCGGAGGTGGTATTTTAATAACAGAGATTATTTATACATGCTTTGGAAAAATGAGCGTACCTCACTGCACTGAAGAGACTCAGAAGTATTTCTTAAACTTTCCATGGCTTTTGATGATGTGCCTGCAATACTGCCATGGGTTACATAGTGAAATCCTGCTTATTCAAACCCTTTTAATCACTTATCTGAATCTCATTTTTATCTTTGGACATGCAATATTTATTTTACAGTTTCCCTAAGTACGTTAACCACCATATGTTCATCTATGTGCACATTCTGAATGAGTTGAGAAAAAAAAACATGCTTGTATAGTAGTTCTGGAAAAGGTACAGCCACAGCAGAAAATCTGACTGGCTCTTGAAAAGGCCAGTTGGCCTTTCAGTCAAGGAACAAAGCTATGGCAAACATATGAGTTTCACACCTTTTGCATGCAAAGCTCTGTATAGGGGAATTACAGCACGTGGTTCCAAGATAAGGCCTAACAATGTCTATTTTAATGTAGCTATTGTTAATGTCTGGCAGCAAATAGATTCTGATTCTTTTTTTTCCCATGAGTTGCAAATGTACTTACAAAAAGTAAGAGTCTGAAGGCACTATGAGCTTTGTCATTACGAGCAATGGTGGATGATCTTGTTTTCTTGTAGGTATCTTGGATTAGCTCCAGAAGCCTCCACACTGTGGTATTTGAATAAATACCCTATTTTATGTTATTTGCAGTTAGTATCGACGGTTAAAAATCCTGACTGTATGCACTGAGAAACAAAACAAAACAAAAAGCCCGACACTGTGTTTCTGTAACCCTTCAGCTTGGTGTTAGTAAAGCCCACTAGAGGCATAGCTGAGGGTTTGGCAAAGTATTTTTACTGAGTTACTATTCTGAAGACAAAAAAATTAAGTAGTTACCTGTTCAGAATGGTGAGTACCAGT